AACACATATAGCAATGAAAATTAGAGAAACTTTGAACGTTAACACAAAACTATACTTTTACTAAAAAAGCAATAACATTATAGTAAAATGACAAACGGCATATTTATATGCAAACCAATGCTAAATTAAAAGTGAACAAGAAAAGGAAACACACATATAACTATCGGCATCGTGATGATGTTTTCGGACCAAGTACAATTTAAATCACGTGACTTGTAAATTTTGTGGAGTTGTTATTGATCTCAAGTAAGCTGGGTATTTTTCGGAAGTGTCCTACATTTCTTACAGTGTACTTCACACTGCAATGATAAGTCATATTGTATAAGACATGATTGCGAGACACATGTCTATTGGTTTAAACTGGATTTCTATCAATATGCGAACGAGTAAATTGACGGACGCAACGTAACCTTACATGCTTAGCCACTAATATCTTGCGTTCACTAAGTAAAATGTCTGTATCCAACGTTCGGATGGGATAAGAGCGTGCTTCTGTGAGTGATCATACATTTACAAACTAACAAGTGCTAGCAAAATAACTAGTCAGTAGTTACAGTATTAGACATAGACATATCGGCTCTTACGTTAAATTAGTTTTATCCAGCATTTCATATACGTCAATGTCTGAACAATTTAAGACTAATGAACACATAATTGCAAACAGTATCTCCTATCTGTCATGAAAATAACCATGCTTCTGAAACCGTTCGTGGCATATCAGTATTGCTTTGACTTTAAACACCATTAATAATGATTTTGTTTAAGGTGCGGTTCAGCTCGTTGATGGCAATAATCGTTATAGTGGGCGAGTACAAGTTTTTGCAACAGGAAAATGGATAAACTTGTGCAATGATGAGTGGACAAACAACAATTTGAAAGTCACATGCCGGCAACTTGGAACGATGTAAGTGCATACATATATATATATAGGTATTGAATTGTGCTGACATGTTTGAATGTTTAGCCGCAGTGTGAATTGATAGTGAACCTTTAACTCCACATGTATCGTTGATATTCATATAAAGACTAGAATACGAAAAATGTATGAAACATGATATTGCATCCAAAACATCTAACTATGTAAGTGAATATTAAGTTTGCTTTTTATATGTTTGTATTTTAAAAAAAACCATGACAAATTAATCGAAAATACGAACACATAGTTGCATATATCTGATAGTCGTCTTGAGCAAAACTTCCCATGATGACATTACAAACTCTGCACAATTGAAATCTATTTTGATATAGCAAAATGAGTTTGAATTTTTAATGTTTAGCACTTCTACTTGTAATTCAAGGCGTTAATCTCGCCAGGTTCAGATTCTTTGGTGGATGCATTAGGTCGGTTTCTACAAAACAAACCGGAATCAGTTAATGCTGAATTTGCCTCTTATTAAGTAAATCTATCATCCTCATATAGTGACTTCAGTTTATTGTCAAGTCACTTTTCAAAGATAGATCTATCCCCAAAAGGAATAGGTTTTTCAAATATTTGATAATGTTCATTTACCAGAAACCTTAAGCACAAAGGAACTGTGTGAATAATATTGTTAAGGATGTACTCTTCTGGATATTAATAATCATTATTATTCTGACGTAAATGTCGTATGCTTTTAGGCATTTAGGTTGATTTCTTCATCTTCTTAAACACGTTCACCGATTCAAAACATGTCAGTCTTTTCTGCAATCGAATTGAATGATACATGCTATCTTTCTGAGGTTCATTTATATACTTAGGTCAAACGGACTTTAGGTTTCTGTTTTTTCTAGCTGTCACGGGGCATACCAGCTTCAAAGCATGTATGTAGTTGCTTTGAGTAGTAAAATGCTCCGAAAACATCTTTAATCGGTATACAAATGCAAAACCAAGGACTGGTAATCTTGATGAATAAATGAACTTTGCATAAAATTTCGTTTCATATCATTAAGCATTGTTTTAAAAATGTTAGACATGTCATTGCCTTGATATAGCTTTTTATTTACAATGTTTATAACGACTCTAGCTCATTTATTACACGACAGAATGTTAAGAAATGCACATCATGTAAAGTTATTTGGTCAATAAAAGTCACTAAAGGGCCTGTCACACACTACCGTACTAGTACCGATCCCCGAAAATCGCCAAATTTGTGCTCTGGTATAGCTCCTGCGACCCAAATCGGCTAGGTGTGACAGGCCTTTTAGAATGCAATATTTCTAATTTACTATACGAGGATTGGTTTTGCAAGGGATCCTTAATATTTTTAATCGTGCTGTAATGCTTCACAATTTAGAAAATATTCTTTATGGTCAGATCTGTAAACAATATTTGATATCCATTATGTACATAAACAGGAATCGTTTTAACATATCTTTATTTGTTCAAACAAAGTGAAAAAAGAAGCGGTCAAGAAGTCTTCACCGAAGGTTATTATCACGGAGGAGATTTCGAATGCGAGGGCACTGAAGAATATTTATATAAATGTCGATATCGCAATCGTAAATGCTCATCTGATGAAAAGGTCACGGCGACATGTGAAATTCCAGGTAAGGTTAAGGACGTTTGGAAAAGAAAGTCAAAACAGTTGGTTGTTTACGTGAACATTTAACCTTTATCTTTACAACAGATTAAATATATATATAATCAGCAACACTACAATGGAGAATTATATTTAAAGGTTTTAACGATTCTGAAATGTTAGAAAATACCAACTAGAAGGGCTGGATCATTTTTCATAGTAGTTGATATTGTGTATACATTTCTTACATATCTTGGTAATAGTGACTACGAAATCATTTTCCGCAAATTATCTTTAAATTAAACGACAACTCATGTACATGCAGTTACAAAAGAGTCGAATGTCGGAGTTTTCTATCATATACTTCTTACCCCTTTCTTAGTTAAGATATTTGTTTCTGAATATTGTATTATTACAAGGAGTTTTTAAGTTCCCCAGAGTGCTACATGATATATTACAGACATTGTATGAGTTAATTATACATGTACTATGTAGGTTGGTTTATATTTTCTATCTTATTTTATGATAGTATCCCCCCGAAATGGAAGGTGTGATATAGACTTACAAGAGACCTGTGATACCACATTGAGCTGTCAGAATGTTAACGGATTTGGGAGATGTATCTGTGATACTGAATCGTTTTGGGATGAAAAAAAAAACAAATGCAAAAAAAGTAAGTATATCGTACATATCAACGATGTACAATATGTTCCCGATACTGTACGGACGCTACCAAAATATTTAATATATATCAACAACAGAAAAGAAAACAAAAAATATCTCTCTGCCAGTCTATGTCTGTGTGGATTTTGTGTATGTCAGTATTTGTTTTTCTCTTTAATAGCAATAAAGGAATGTAAAAAAATTGTCATGGCTGGACACATGAAACTTGATTCAAACTTACTCATTTTTTGTAAATGCTTGATTTAAGTATTCAGGCCAGTTCATGGCTGTATATTTATTTGAGTTAATAATTTATCTTTGCAAAAAATGATTCATGAAACTACCTTTCTTTCTCAGTGTCATTCCGATATAAAGGAAAGTAGACAGGTTTATATTACTGACCGTGAATATTTTGAAGAAAAAGCAATATTTGTAATTAAGCACACCTTTGATTTTGAGTGATACATAATTTGTTAAATTTGGGATGTTTTCCAATCATTTGACGTTTTTATTGACCATAGAAAGGCATTTATATTTTCTATTCTCGACAATTTTTGGGAGCGAATAATGAAAGCAAATTTAGCGAATGCACAGAAATCTCCCCAATTCGGGAAGACTGATTATTAATTATATAACTTTTAGACTTATACCCATAGGTAAAGTAAATATTAATAGTCGATGTCGAATCGTCGAAAGAGTCATTTTTTGTTAATCGAACTGGATTAACTAATTGATGGAAAAAAGATAGAAAAACGTGTAATATATATATGTCACGTTTAATTTTCAAAAATAAAGATTTAATAAATTACAACATCGCTACAAAATTGATAGGTAAATAAGTCCCCCGTTTTTAACGTTAATTTGCCCAAAGCTTAGTAACAACGCAATGCTGGAAAAACACTTTACTCCTGGCAAGTAGGAACGTTTGCGTTGTTTAATGGTATTTGGTGCTGATTATTTTGGTGTCTCCACAGTGTTTTGCTTCTGATTGTCTTTGGATTTCGATCTGGTCGATATCTATTAATTCTAAACATACTTATGTCACATGAGAGCGCAATTCACTAGTGTTTTTGCGTTGACACCAGGATTAATCATATCTGCTTTACAGAGTTGTCGTACAATGAAGAATGTGATCCGAATGTTGAAGACGTATGTACAAGTGTCCTGTCATGTGAACTCGTAAACGGATCCACATCATTCCAAAATAAATGCGTATGTCCAGAGAAAAATGACTTCTGGGACACTTCTAACAAGACCTGCCGTATAAGTAAGTATTTGCTTCCTGTAATTTAGTACTCAATACTTTCGAAATCTACCTTCTGAATAAAATTAATTGATTTCATATGCTGATTTCAACGTGCTGCCAATTTATTTGAAAAGATAAACATATGCATCTGTTAGAATGCAATGAGATCCAGCATTGTTCGCCATAATAACGGCATCCCAAAAATACATGGTGCGCTTTGTGAACAAATCTCTATACGCCTGTAAAGTACAGCTACGCTTTGTTTTATGAATTGTTTTAACCTCCAAATGGCTAGAGCTTCACATCCGATCGGAGAATCGAACTCCAGCTGTCTTGGTGAAAGGCGAGTGTGCTATCCACTCCACCGCCCGACCACCCAATCGCTACATACTCTCCATCTTTTTTGTTCATTCCTCCTCATTTGTAATCTGCCATTCCACGTGTATTCTAATCCGAAAACGTTATTAGCTCACGAAGGCCTATGCATGGAAAGAGTTATTGATTCATTGTTGTTAACGAATCCATGTTATATTTATGTCGAATGTGTCACTAACATATATCGATTGTATACACTGTTTCGTACTCCAAATGTTAAAACTATATTGCAAATGTGTTTTGTGATATTACATCCGTTTTCAAATTAAATTTACTCTTTTCGCGGCTTCCTTTTTCAAATTAAATTTACACTTTGTCGCGGCATGCGCCTTGGAGACATTCTTTACTTTGTACATTAAGTATCAGTCTTTACAACTAATGTTATTTTGATTTTATATTATATTAATTACACCATATTATATTCAACAGAGAAATTCTACGCTGAAGTGTGTGATCCGACTGTTGACGACGTATGCACGAGTGACCTGTCTTGTGAACTTATGAACGGAACATCGCTTAATAAATGTATTTGCCCAGGAGAAGATGACTTTTGGGATTCTTCGTACATAGCATGTCGTAGAAGTGAGTAAATATTTCGTAAATGAATCCCTCTGTCTAGTTTAACATTTGATCTTTGAATTCACAGAATAATATAATATATTGTTGATTGGTATAAACAGATGTGTGAATGTCGTTACTACACCCGTTTTGGAGGAGAAAAAATAATATTTTCTAAAGGTTGACGTGGTCTTCATATTGCTAGCATATACGTTTGACTGTATGATGTTATCTTATCTGACAGTACCTGACATATGCATATCATGTTTGATGTTTGAACATAATTACATCATACATATATCAATATCTATGTAAAGTGGACATTTCTTCAACACTCCTACATTTAATCTACCAGGGAATGTTGTAGAAACACTAGTCGACCGTTTGCTTCATCCAAAGTTTTACAAATAAAAGAGAAATTGAAGTGCAAAAAGAAAACATGACAAAACATGAACGTGTTGTATACGCAGAAAACTGAAAAAAAACCTGTGTTTATAAGACTAGGTGTTCCGGAAGGGGATTCATCTCCTACGCATTTAGAACAAATCCGTGTAATGTCATGTATAAGTGATAACGGGTTATTGCTAACGAAACAATTAAGCCTGCTTATAAGCATAATTAAAGACAATGACATTCATTTCGCACAACAGTATTTTTTCCCGGTGAAATCATAATGGCGAATAAAGTTTCTAAACCCATAAAATTTGAATCGGTAATATGTGTATTCGAAAAAAAGGCAATTTCATGTACGTTGCAGCTACCTGTAAATTTCATGCCCATTCCTATAGATTACTCTGAACCGCTTTACATAAAAGACAATGCCTTAGTAGAGTTCATGCAACAAAACAAAATACACGTTGGTCTATTGTTGGTGCCAGGGACAGGTTTGCAAGGGATATATGTCGCAGACAAGTTGAACATCAGCGATGCCATCTCCAACTGTGAAAGTAAGTATAAAGGACTATTGGCAACAGAGGAACATCTTCGACAGATATTCTCGAACTGCACGGACTACGCCGACGATACTTGGCTCATAGGAATAGTATATCCTGCTACAGGTACGATATGGTTGAAGTGATTAGAAACGAGTTTGAATAACAAATGTGTAACAAACAAATGTTTTTTTCCTTTTAAACTAAATACAATGATAAGGGTAACAAAATAGTAATGAATTCGATGTATGATTGACTCTTGTCTCAATTCTTTAAAGGAATATCGTATTTTATGATATATATAAATTCCCTGTGTCTCTAATTTACCATAAAAGAACAAACAATAGCTAGTTTATATTGTACATAATATCTTTAATCTTCCGTCTACAAATTTCCAGAAAAGCAATTGGGCAGTTGTGCTATATTATACAGTGATGGTGAATTGAAAACTGAAAACTGTACTGGCAGAAGGGCGTCTGTTTGTATGACAAAAAGTAGGTTGGATTATGATATTGATTCCATGAATCTGAAACTATACCCGGAATCTTGAGGCAATGCAGAATTAACTTTTCACCCTTTTTTGTCATTATCATTTAAAAAAAACCTGTTCCGAACACTGTAAATATTTGTCAGTTTATTAAAAAATTGAACTAAATTTCGTTTTTAATATGCATTTTCCAAAATATTTGTTATCATGCTTAAGTCTTCCCTGTGGTATAATTTTATCTTGATCATTGAAAACATATTCTGATTTACATGATACAAAACCGATGTACCAAAGTCAACAGCATTTATTGTGTTTTTTTTTAGATACTATACAAAATGAATACTTCATTAAGGTTTCACTTTTGAGATATCATGCAATACACTTTAACCATAATATTCGTTTCGCGAACAACAGAACAGTTCCCGTAAAATTTTAAAAGTACGCACCCGTAAAAGGTTTAAGTAATAGCTTCACATTTGTATCAATATCTTATTGTGCTACTAACGTGTTAACTCTGTCAGCCTGTACAATGTCAAAATCTTTATTTTCCCCCAGAAAACAACAAAAATGATCTGTCATGTTTTGGATTTCCAACAGTGCCTAAATATTCCACTTCGAGTTCTGGTAAGAATTTAAGACTGATTTTATACATTTAAAACAAGTAAAACATAAAATATCATTATTACGCAACTTATGTTGTTTTTGATGTATAAAGCATGACATTTAAACAAAAAGTGTTCCCCCTTTTTAGTGACGTGTATAATGACAGTTGTTCTCTGTAGCAGGTTTAATTGGTGGCGTCGTAGCTGTTCTCATAATCCTAGCTGTTGTGGTGATGCTTGTAATTGGATTGCTTTATCGACGAAGGTATAAAACTTTGGCGTATATTTGCATCTATTATATCGGCATTGCCTTATCTTGGCTAAGTCAATTTAAAAGTACAACATGAAAATGTGAAAAGTATTTATAATTACTAGGTAAACCACCAAAACTTACACTCGTTTATACAGGTAAATAAGTAAGATGTAAAATCAAGAATGGTAATTTTATTTAAATGTAAGTCATATTATTTACACGTAGATATAACAATCCTATTTCAGAAAAAGGGAATGTAACAAAGACAGCGATATGGTAAACAATCAGTCGTATGAACTATCCGGCACTGCCAATGGGAGGTCATTGAAACCCGATATTCGATTATCATCTAACCCGGAGACTCGACCCGTAGAGGATTATGACTATGCGATGGGAACAGACAATAGAGATGCGCAGGATTGTAATCACTCTAATATATATGCCAATGATATGACAACCAGACAAGTTAACCAGGGATATAATTCCTCGAATGATATGCCTGATTATGCTAATTACACTGAAGACCGTTGTCCTCCTGACGACAAACCGCGAGGGAACTCGGTGGAGAACTCGTTCGAGTATATGTTAGCCAAAAAACCAAACACTGACTATCTATCGGATGGGGAATATAACACTTTTTCGGACCAATCAGCTGATCTGCCGCCTACTGATACGTATGACCATGTTCACAATGTGCCAGAGGATGGCTACGATCAGTTCCAGCTGAAATCAAGTGAACGATCTAACTTTGAACACGATGATGAAACCGGATATATGCAGTCCAGCTTTCCAGGATGACTACAACGGGTTTGGTTATAGTTTAATCTATTGATGTGAATGTACATGTATATGTTAGTTGTGTAATATAAAATAAAATAATATAAATTTTAAAAAGATCATTTGAATAGAAAGTAAAATGTTTAAATTGATTCGTTATATGAACATTGTAGTTGTTGTATATACTTTCTATCGACTCAATGAATATAAATATCTACATATAGTTTGTTACGCTGTATACCTAATGTGATTAACTGGATCACTCTGAAATGCTTGGTGTTCAATGTTAGCGCCTTCTACACTTGTCGAATGTTTTAAGTACACAATTGTACACTTTGAATACACAAATATGTCACTTTATTCCCTATTGTATCATATTCTCAAGTTTAGCGTTACTACTGACGTTGTCAAAAAAGGATGATTAACTCAAATTCCTCGTTCAAAAATCTTAGGTGTCAGGACAAGTGTTCATATAAAAGAATAAAGAAATTTGGTACAAGGGAAATAAACTTAAAATTTAGGGAAATATGACGCTATTGTCCCTGGACTTGTTAGCATATGATCCTTGCCTGCGTGTCAATATGATAGTTGCGATTATATTAACTAGTCATTTTTATTTTTTAAGGCAGTGATTGGTTACAAATTTCGGACAATTGTTAAAGCATGTAACTTGCATTTCATTTGAGAGAAAAACAAAAAAATCCATTGTTACGCTTCAACTATAAGACGTTGCAATGTATCAAATTTGTTTTTGTTAACTCTGACGATCTCGGTCTTATAAGGGATACTAGTCACCTGAACTCAAGGAGGCGGGCTTGCTTGCTTCATAAACTTGGATAATATGACTATATCTTATTAAGATTGAATTTTCACTCCTACTGTAAAGATATTCTAACTATTATTGATTGTCTTGCTTGGTATTTCAATTTTCTGGCTTTAACTTACTTTGTTAGTACAAAAGTGCAAATCAAGCAAAGTTCTTATTGTTGAGAATTGATTGGACATTGATTTACTATATCTTTACCTATAGATATGGGGTAAAGAAGTAATTCCAACAGTGTGGACAAGTTTAGGCTGTCAAGACACAGTGAAACAAAACAGTTACATGTACATATACATCATATTACAAGAAGATAGAATTGATATACTATAATTGAAAATATAGCTATAATATAAAACCAATAGTCCCCTCGGCTAAAGGCAGCCGAAGGCAGCAATTAAGCTGAGAGCATCGCGGAAAAGGAACGCTGATGTAGAGGATCTATTCCGTTACTTATAGATACATACATGTTAATTTCATGTACACGTACTACGTAACTGGTACCGCACATGTTTTTTTTTATTTTGTGTTATTTAGAGCTAGTAAAATATCACCTTTCAATTGAAAAGAAACGTATATGATTTTATAGTCAGATCATTGAGTGCATATAACTTTGTGCTTTTAATTTTATCTAAATTTTGTTGTTAAAAGTATAAGTTAATATACGTGTAGATTGGTGTACTGCATTTCACCTCTACTAGCAGTGTTACTAACAGTATGCAATTAGCACCTGACGTAAGAAGGTCACAATTAGTCGTGTGTTTTGTTTACATTGTGTACATTGACGATGCTAGTATTCTTGTTAATATATAAATATATGATAAATATATTTGTTATTATTTTGCCATCTTTTTTAGTATGGATAGCCTCTATACGCAAATGAAACTGAATTAACAAACAACATGTATGCATATGTATAATATGTCGGAAGGATTTGGTTTGGTTTTCTAAATTTTGGTTAACATCCTATTACAACAGCTAAGGTCATTTAAGGATGTGCCACCATGTGTGTTGTGTATGGGTGTATTTGTGTACGTGTGCTGGAGGCGGGGTTTGTTGTTATTACCTCCCTTATGATTTTGCGGATCCGATTCCAACTTTATAATTCGATCTCACTGAATTACCATACCGAAGGCATCCAATACGGCATTCCGCCCGGTCACATTATACTGAAAACGGGTAAACCAGTTGCTGCCTTTACCCCAAATGTCGAACGTTAAGCAGAGAATAACAACTACCGTTTTCAATGACAGAACCTATTGCCTTCCTTACCTTTGGCGAACATTCAACATTAAAGCTAAAAGTGAGGTATAGGCAAACAACGCGCGAAGAATGAAAATGCAGTTTATCAGTAGAGAGAAATATAAAATTTTGAAATTTTGCAATGAGTGCAGCAGATTTATTTTGGTCGTTTTGTGTCTCAAAATAGAGGGCAAAAAAGCAAATCCCCAATTCTGCAGGGGGGTCGCTCATTAGTCGCCTCATAGGTAACAGCAGGTGTATTCTTTTCTCGATCGCCGACCTGCAGAGGTGATGCCAAAAGGAATATATTTTGCATATAGGATATTATATTTTTCCTTTAACTTAAAAAGGCCTGTTTTTCGCATTTCGTCTCTCCTTTTATGTTATCTTAATACCGAAATCATGACGTAAAGCATGACGTCATACATAATTTTGTGACGAACTGTTTTACTGGATATCATATTTGTTATTCTATTTTCCATCATATTTTCATATCACGTTTCAATGAATACTATAACAAACCCAATCTTGTACATGTATAACTTAATTTCAAGTAGTTAAATAATGTACATAGAAATGAATTAAAAATAAAATATATTTTAGAATGCCATATTACATGTTGGGAATCAAGGTCTATCGTCTACACTTGTAGTTAGTTTAGACACTGGCAACGTAGTATTTAAGCTGTCGATATATGTTACATACTGTATGTGAAAATGCGCCTTCGTGAACTGTGTCTCTATTTCCTGTGCTTTTGAAGGTCTATCAAATTTTAATTAGTACGTTGACTATGTATCAATATCTTTGTTAATTTTTATGCTGTTATCACACGATGTATGACATCTATCTTAGTACAATGTGGTATATATATTAGGGTTGTCAAACCGGTCAAATTTTGTAAACCGGTTACTCGAACAATTTTCCGATCGAGTAATCGTTTAATCGGTCAATTTGGTAAGCAAATAATTAATAATGACATTGCGCTATAGTTTAAGCAAATGTTCTATTCAAAACGCATTTGCACCGCAAACATACATGTATATATAAATCAACATGATAGTGTACTCGCGTGTTTCAAGCTAAACGCAGCAAATAGCTTCATGTCACCTCAGTACGGTAGGTATATTTCATGGACAACAAATGTCGGAATACAGTAAGACGTGATTCAATTACAGTTATCTCTACTCGAAACCATACGCAATAATATTGTTCTTTAGAACAAAATTTGGCCGACAAACGTTTAAATACATGCTTGCTCATTCAGATTCAGGGTACTCTTCAGATTAGCTTTACATCTCGCATGTGAAAGCGAGTTCTACCTCTAAAAGTTGATTCGTTTTAAAATATTTTCAGCATTTTTATAGTGTTTGTCAATCTTTATCAATGTTTACAATAGAGTATAAAACAACACTAACATGTCAGACTGAACACTGTTTTAATTACTAACCTGTCCGATTTTTGTCGCATCTAAAGGTCTAAGCCAGAGAAACAGGGGGTTTCCCAAAGGGGACAATAAATGTCCGATCATTGCTTTTGGTAACCGGTTTGTGGTTTTTTTCCAAACGAGTAACCGGTTCACCGTTGACAATCCTAATATATATATATAATTATATGCATGTGCCATTTGTTCGTTGTTATAACATGTTGTTATTACCAACGGGTACGTACTATCATGATTACAATGTATATACAAAGCATTAAATGCTTTTGATATGTTAATAAAATAAACTTGTAAATTCCTGTTTTTATCTCTATTAAAATGAATTTAAGATTGAATTAAATGTCATAAGGACTGTTCAAACTAATAAATAGTAACATAATTCATAGTATTCGGGTGACAGGTTTAACTAGAATCTAATAAAAGCAGCATCTGTAGGGTAACACAAAGTAATTGTTCTCAAATGTATTGCCCATTTCTCTTCATCCGTTTGAAAGGCTAGTGTCGAAATTCTCTGATTGTTTCAAAATTCAGCAAATCTACACATATTTAACCTAATGGAAAATGATGACTTAAGTCGTGTTCAAATTGATGAGTCTTCAGGATAGTACCTAATGGTTTCATATGGATCAAATAACCTTCAGTACAATAATAATTACATTTGAATTTGTATTTCTAAATTTTAAAATGTTCATTTTAAAACTGAAATATAGAGGAAAAGAACCAATAATATCGGTGTCGCCATTTATAATTAAACAATATTTCAGGTTAATTATATTTGAATGTAAGTGAAATCAGTTGAATAATAAGCTCATTGTTTCCCTCTTCTCAGGGAAACACTCTGTAACTATATGTTAACAGCATCGTAAAGACAACAGTGGTAAGATTGTCTCCTTCATCGTTTGAATATTTAATAGAAGGATAGAGGAAACCTAAAAAGACAATATACACATCCTTACTACAATATACTTTTTTTGAAACAGACCTTATTAATGCAATCAATCACGCGAAAAATACGCACGGCCTTGTTAAAACCATTGTCAACTTACCAGGCTCTGGGGCGAACATTCAAGTAGACCTTCGCAGATACTGCTTAATTGTTTTTAGGTTACATGAACCACTCGCGCGCTCATCTAATGATTGAGTGAACAAGAAGTGGAAAGATGAGAGCAAATAAAGAAAGCCTTAGGTAGCAGAGTACAGTAGAAACGGCTTGACCCTAAAAATAAAGGGCATGTCTCGGATAAACAAAACATGGATAGCGGATTCATCTTGCACAACACACCTACATATATGTATATTTATAAACTACATTTTGAATATGCTTTCTTAGAAGAGTGATTGCCCCAGATTTGGGACTTGTGAAAACCATGGTTACCACATCAAAAAACGCCAAAAAGTGCAAACAAACATGATTTTTAACCCAAAATTTGACCCACGCAAGTAGTATTTTTTTCTTCTTAAAACCTGTCTTAAATTAAATATCACCTACTCGGTCGCAGAAACTCACGTTTTAGCATAGGTCGTCAAACTGGATTTTTCACAATATTTACACATGTGCTGTGTACAAAAATAGACTACATGAAAAGCTAGCTTTTGTTGTGTAGACACAGATTCGTAAATGGCCAAAAATGTAGTCTCAAGCCAAATTCGATTTTTAAAAAAAATGAGAATCCCACATAGTCCAATTCATCATGCATATGTAATTTTAGAGCTGTTTTTTTTAAAGTTTTTATACATGTAATATTACAGGGGTTATTCATTGTACAAAAATATCACCTATGGCCATCGTACGCTACTGTACACTGCTACCTAAAGGAAGTGACGTTGATAGGTATGATAAGAATTCCTGCATGCAAAGCAGGTGTTATGTGCTCAGGTTGTCTCATGTCACAGTCACGTCCGACTGGTTTGGTCACATTCCACAGAACACGTGTACATTTACACTGGACAAAGTTACGTAACCAACAGGTCACAAAGGTAAATTTACAACAGAACGAACTCAAGTACTAAAACATATAAATGGGTTACATATAGTTCACAATAGTTCGAAAGTTTTTTCTCTTGAGTAACGGTACATCTTTAAGGAACATTTTCATGGAGCGTGAAACTGTTAGTTTGCTCAGCATGACCTCAGCATATTGTTTTGTTATGTTGAATTTCCATTTATATAATATAAACGTTATCTATTTTACAACAATTATGAAACAAGTTATTTTAACTTACATCAATCACTCTTGTTAGAACGTATATAAGAACCAGGGGATCTTAATGTGGGACGAAACTGAATTACCTGGAGAAAACCCATGTAGTCGGGAACATACCTTTTCAAGTCCGATCGGGCTATCGAACCCCTGCCGCTTGGTAAAAGATGAGTGTGTTATCCACTGCGCCACCCGACAACCCCAGTTTCCATTGATCAAAATGAATAGAGACTACAGAAAATATCTTTAGCTTTGAAATATCGACTGCAATATTAGTTCCCCGAGACATGGTGTATTACCCGAGTCAAACATTAGGGAAATTGGCCTGGTTGAGGAGGACCAGAAAGTTGCTGTATAAACATTCCATACTGTTTTTTCATGAAACCGATACAAGAGGCACATGCATTTCTTAAAATCAATTTTCTAATCGTATAATTCTTAAATACCTACATGTATTGATAGCCATATCAACTTTTTAATATCATAAGCGCTGTTGACTCGAGACCGATTACAACTGAGTGGGGTGAGGGCAGAACATTTTCAGATAAACATACACCTGCTAGAGGATTTACCCCCTTGATAACAATATCAGTATAACAATGAAATATAGTTTTAACGAATAGCTTAAATTGAGAGTGAATAAAGCAGAGGTCATGAAATGCGAAATACAACTAGGAAGTATACATGTACGTTCAACTAGTTATAACACTGTAATACAAAACCCAAACATTGTATAGTGATATTGAAAAGGTTCCACTAAAGAGGACATTCTGATGAATTTCGATGTCCGGATATGTCGTCATCAGTTTCGTTAGCAATTAATTCCTTTGATCCATTTAGAACGCCGTACCCGTCCTCTGTTGTGGGCTGTATATGATCGTATGGATTTTCAGTTTCATGATCAGTTGATAATTTGTTCATGTCAGAAAATGTATTGTAGATACCGGGTGTCATTTCTGAACCGCTACACAAGCTATAGTCATCACGTGTAGCAGCATTACTCGCAGACGGGTTACACCGGGTGTAGCCATCACCCGTTACATTCGTCGACGGGAAAGGGAGTCTGCCTTCCATATCAATGTATCCGGTTGATTTAGAACTTAGAACCTCTGTGTAATGATTCACGTTGTCTCTGTTAGTTTTCACTTGTCTATGTTCTAATGTTTCAGCCTTGGTTGCTATGTTAGCGTAAGCAGGTTCGTTTGCGGCACTGACTTCCATATATGGATTCTCAATGAAGGGCGCATTAGTATCGTATGTATTATTGAGAAAAACCTGTAATCCGTCACCTGCTGAGAGACCGTTTGAATTCCATGTTTTGAAATATTTTTTTCGTTTTCAACAAGTGGAAACAATATGATATTAAAATAATAAATGAAAGTGAATGAAACATGTATAATCAAATAGCAGCTGATAATTTCTTTTGATTGTTTTGTCAAAAGCTTGATAATGTAATTTAAAATATATCTAATTACAATTAATTTACTGTGCATTATAACGTATTCTCAATAAGTAAAGCTATTATTCCTGTTTTATTTGGTCATCAAATGTTTTACCTTTTTCATGGCTATGGTAGCAAGCTCTTTTGTGTAGTAATTCAACAGTTTGTAGTTATGTGATTGTTTCGAAAATGGTAAGTGATATATCTTGTGATAAAGATAAAATGTATATTAATTCACTTTTACATGTGTAATACCTTTTGAATATAAAAACAGTTACCGCAGCTCCGATTACCAATAGAGCAATGACAATCGTCAAAACGAGCGCTGGAAGAAAACAAAAACATTCATGTACATGTATAGTAGCAGCTTATTTATATAAAGATATAAACGGCGCATCTCTGACATACTCCTGTAACATATACATGTAGTCTATATTCAAATCCACCATGTCATACCAAATAGAAAACGAACTGTTTCAATGTGTGCGGATATCAAAAACATAATGCATTATATCATCTTCTTATCAAAATATAACAACAAAGGAATATCAATATTTCATCCAAAGGAATACTAACAAGACAGCTATATTTATCAATGAAAGTATTCAAATATCTTTGTATTGGCAATTTTATCACCTTGCCCGCAATTTTGATAAGTTGTGCATCGTCATGTACAGATTTATAAATTAGTCCGTTGTATTTATGATTTCGAGACGGCTTTGCAACACTTAACTTACCAGTACGGGATGGTGTAAGGTGTTCGGGCGACAGTGTTCCTAATGGGAAATCTTTGCACGGTATATTATCAGTGTTGTCACCTAAACAAAAATGCCACCGACAAAAAGTGTAGTCTAACACATTTTGGCAAGTAACTCATGCAGTTTATAATTTAAGACAGTATATTTTATAAAAAAAAATCATTATTTCGTCAATAGATATAATCAAAATAGATTACAATATGTCTAAAACATTATAAAACGCATGCACAAATCTGAATGAAGTAGCTCTTTGGAAAGACAAGCATCTAATCTATGTGATATGTCTTTTCCCTGAAAATTTGCACATTCTGATGTGTAAGAATATTATTATCTAACAACTGAAAACTAACGATGCTTTCAATGAATGTATCTTTTTGGCCAGGGATAATAACTTTATCTATTTAGGGTAACATCCGGTCTGTGAGTTACTGATTATCACAAGATAAATAATTGTAATACTTAAATTTGTGCACGTTAACTAATTACATCTAAACTCTGTATAATGATAATATCAGGAAAAGCGAATATTGGACGTTGAATAACAAAAGTCCATACGGACCATAATGTTTTTCATGTTTTGTTTGTACATGTAATATGCTTCATATATCAAGTGTTATCAATAATCTGTTTTAATCAACATACGTTCATGTATGCACACAAAATTAAGTCTTTCATAGCAGCTGATGTTGTAATATCGATCTCCCATCCTTGCTAACTGGCACAAAGTATCATTCTTGTTTGGCATTTCTGAAAGAAACAAACACATTTGATGATGCACAATAATATAGATTTATCACATAATAGGCCTGTTATCCAGTGAATTCGCCCCTGTAATATTTTTAAATATGTCACTAGTTTAATATACCCTGGAGAGTTTTTCATTGGCTGTGCTAGTCCGAAATCGATTGTGACGTCATAATATGGACAATGATATGACGTCATAAATTGTGAATGTCGAAACAGAATGGTTGTCTCCGTTTGATTAAGCCCTCTACATTTTGGCTTTAAAACCTGTCAAATATGTAAGTTTTATGATTTCAGTGATAAAAAGTATCTTAAATTTGTTTTCATTTCATGTGAGCTTTTATGAAACTCGCCAAGGCTCGCAAAAATAAAAAATCCTAAGACTCGTTTCATAAAATCTCATATGAAATGAAAACTAATTTAAGATCCTATATGTACTAGTTTAATATTTATCTTTACTTTACATGTATATACATACATGTTGTGTAATACGTTTTACATTAATGCCTTCCTGTGTTAACGTTGACACATTTTCACTGTATGTTATACATAATTAATTCAAATAGAAGATCCTAGACGTATTTCACGACACAATAATGTATAATGTATATTGTTCTTACCTGACATGGTCTGTATCCAAATGTCTTCTATATTATCCCTGCAGTTTTCAAACACCATTTGAAAGTCGTTCCATGTGGCAAAACTCCCGTTTACTTCATTAGCACAATGCGTTTGAGCTTGGTTGTACTCCAATTCCAGTTGGATAAAGTCAGCTTGCAGCTTGTTAACTGTGCGGACATTTACATCATATACTGGTAAATTTATCATATCCAGTCTACTCGGGTTGGTTCGTTTTTTCAACATTGAATAACCATTTTTATCTTTAAATAAAAGTTTGCTTCGAAATAAGTAAATTTGTCTAATATTTGAAATAGATTTAAATGATTAAACATTTAGAAAAATAAGCTGTACAGTAAGTGAGATAGGACGTACATAATATTGAATGATTAACCATTAACACTGTTTATTTATGAAATCACACACAAATCAAATTACCGGAAAAGCAACTTTTGGCACCAACATGCCATAAAGTAAATCCTTGCTCAGCCCATAGACATCTGTTTGAATCGGTTTCTAACCGACACCCCAAGTTACTTTGACATTCTCTCGATGTCGCACACATGTCGTTGTATGGTTTCTCTGTTAAATATACCAGGCCGAAAACATAGAAAAGATAAAACCTCACAGACCTAAACATTATTAACGTATAATATTTGTTTGGATATGATAGCTATCTCATCCCCACCATTCTTACCTGATATGAAGCTACCACAAAATTATGTCTCAATACGGACGCAATTTGTTAGGGGTGTCAATATTTCTATATCCAATGTACAGAAATTCCTAAATGTACAAGTAAACAGGTAATGATTGAACAATGGTATAGTGACCGATTTTCATTTTATAATTTTGTTTTTGTCTTTGTAAAATATTGTATTGGCGGTGACGTCATATTTTTGAAAAATATTTTTCTATTACACCAATGACATCCTTTGGTCAATTTTTCACACAATTGATGACTTTTGATTAAAAACAAAGCTAGGTGGTTATAAATTATAACATGTTGTGAGTTCATTTTGAAGTTTATAATATGATTAGCTAATAAAAGGGAAAATAGCAATTTTGATTGTGATGTTTGTACTCAGAGCTTAATTCAACATTTACACATAATTTATTAAGTGTTCATTATGTCAATTCGCTATAAAGGAACTGGCTATATTCATATCAGATAGTCAAATTAGATGGACACCCGTTTCCTGTCCACAGACATGTTACCATAACTATCATATTTTAAGGTTGATGTATTTTAAATGGTATGTTTTAATATTGAGATAGATATTGGAGTATAGCTGTTATCGATTTTATATTTTCTTTACTGACTGGTTTGACATGCAGACGTTACAGGATTCCAAAACATGCGTCCTTCGTCATAACATCGACATATGCTGTTGTTGAACTGTTGATTGCACACAAGGTTACTTCCACAGCTGTCAGTCATGTAAGCATAGCATGTCTCGTTGTATAGAGATTCTGAAATAAGTGATTTGTTCTTAACTAATTTCCTATCAAAGTCGAGTAGTTACCTTTTGAGAAAATGTAATTAATCAATTTCCTACATGTGTATACAAACTGGGCATTGCTCCTGTTTGATACTGAGTCACTAAACACTTGTTGTTGTTTCAATTAATTTAATATATGAACCAGATTAAACAATGACAATTTATTCCATCTTTATTCATCGTAATTGAATTCCGACAACTTGTTTTGTTACTCAAGTAGTTTAGTACACTTCTCTACAGACTTGACGCTATACGTGCAAAATCATAATTAAGTATTATATAGGAATTGACTGGCGTTTGGTCTTCCAGTATGGCATTATTTACCCTTACAAATGGTTATATCTGTTATACATTTACTGAAATGTATTACATGACCTCGTTGACATATTCATTAAATCATATGGTAACATATAGCGATATAGATATGTTCTATAACTAATGTAAATTATAGATAGTCAGTGTCCAATCTCACCTTCTTACCTGACTAAGTATCTACTTGAAACGAACTTACTTTGTTCACATTTCGTCTGTCTGTCGTCCCAAAACATGTCGTGTAAACACAAACACTTGCTTGGATCACCGTATGTGTTACAAACCAGTGTACTAGCACAATTGTCCGGTATGCCAGGTCGACATGGCTCATCATATCCTGATTCTGAAACAGAAATGCATTAAAGGTACATGACTAACAACCATAGTTTTGTCAGATGACGTCACACGGGTAAACTGTAATTGACTTGATTTTATGAAAGAGACACATCGTATTTTTCGTCCAGTCACGTGTTTTTTTATTGTTAATAAAATAACTGTTATATGTATATGAAGCATATGATGACAAGAGAACATCATTGTTTAGCTTATATATATTGTATCTAACGTCAGAAAATCAAACAGCTATTATTTGTATTTCATATCAATATGGAAGTACATATCTACAAACAAATTTCTTATAACAAAAATTTAACAATTATTATATTGTTGAAATTGCTAGCGCTAGGGGTTTGTTAACGTCATTTTAATCTTGTAACAGAAGATTGATCTAATACCTTTACTTGAATTTCATTAAAACATGTTCTTAAAGGGTAAAGATCTTCAAATCATGCATTCACCAAGTAATGATATTTATTTTGTGTTATTTATAACTGCAATAACAGAACGTAAAATATCATTTTAAGTCAACACGTGTTTTATCACCGATTATTTATCTATTTGAAAGAAACTTACTTTGTTCACATTTCGTCTGTCTGTCGTCCCAAAACATGTCGTGTAAACATAAGCACTTGCTTGCATTACCATATGTATTACAAACGAGTGTACTTGCACAATTGTCCGGTATGCCAGGTCGACATGGCTCATTATAGCCCGATTCTGAAATAGACATGCATTATCTTCGCAGTCTCTACTGCAATAATTTAGGCATATTATTAACAACAATAGTTTTGTAAGATGACATCACACAAGTAAACTGGGATTGACTTGATTTCATGAAAGATACATACGATATTTTTCGTCCACTCATGTGATTTCGTTTAATAATAAATAACTGTTACTGTATATGAATATGAAGCATATGATGATAAGTGAACATCATTGTTTAGCTTATACACATCGTATCTTAACGTCAAAAGAACAAACATCTCTCACTTACATTTCATAACAATATGCAAGTACAATTGTACAAACAAATATCTTTTAACAAGATAACACATATTACATGTTTGAAATCGTGTGCGTTTGGGGTTTATTAATGTCATTTTTATCTTGTTACAAAAGATTGATCTAATACCTTTACTTGAATTTCACTAAAATATGTCCTTAAAGGCTTAAAGATCTCCAAATCATAAATTCACCAATAAGTGATATTTATTTTGTATTAACCATAACTGCAATGGCAGAACGTTAAAGATTATTTTATGTCCACTCTTGTTTTATTATCGATTATTTATCTATTTGAAAGAAACTTACTTAGTTTACATTTCGTCTGTCTGTCGTCCCAAAACATGTCGTGTAAACACAAACACTTGCTTGTATTACCGTATGTGTTACAAACGAGTGTACTTGCACAATTGTCCGGTATCCCAGGTCGACATGACGCATTGTATCCCGATTCTGAAATATCAAGGTAGCAGTATACAGTAGAGGGCTGTGGCCATGGGTGATATTTTTGTTAAATGGCTAACCCCTGTATAATGATATGTAAAAAAAAATATAAAAATAAAACTGTACTAAAATTGGTATGACCATGATGAAGTGGGCTATGTGAGCTTCACATTTGTAAAAAAAAAAATTTTTTTGGTTTGAGACTAAAATTTTTGCCATAATCCGAAAGGGTGACTAGTCATGAAAAGCTAGCTTTACAGAAGGTAAAATATTGACAACAGCACACGACGCAAAATTGCAAAAAATCAAGTTTTACATCTTTACTGGGACCCAGATAATTCTGCAACCAGGTAGGTAATCTTTAATTTCAGACGGGACTTAGGAAAAAAAAAATACTAGTTGCGGGGGTCAAATTTTGGGTCAAAAATAGCAATTTTTGGCATTTTTTGGTAATTTTTGATGTGGTAACCATGGTTTTCACACAAGTGACATACACTTCTCAGTACTTTATATGTATTGTAAATGTAATGCATTTTTCAAATATATATACAGGTATACATGTGTTGTGTAGGGTAAATCCGCTGTGTTTACATTTCCTCGATATGTGCCTTGTTTATCAGAGTCGGGCCATTTCTACTGTATACTGCTACCCAAGAATAAAGTTTTTCATCCTTTTAACAATGATTTATTGATATTAGTAGAAACGACTTCAGGATGTCATCACATATTTTGAAATTAATATATGTGCATAATTTAATTAATATTGATATTAAACTATATTTTGTGTATCGATTATCCTATAACACCTGTACAATAGCAAACTTACATGGACACATCATGCCCAATGTAACTCTGCACATAGGACTTTGTGTTATGGGATTATTTAATGGCATTTTTGCAGAAAGCCTTAATTCTTACTCATCTTGCAGGTCGACAGGGCACTGTCCCAGAACATGGTAGTCTCATCCAAACACTGACATAGTTGCCTCCGTTGTGACATGACACATACAGAGTTTCCTTCACACCGCTCCTCGGGCTTACATAATGACCCAAACGGTACTATGAGATAAAAAAAAAAAAAAAAAACTTTTAAAAACGTGGAAGACAATAAGAAATAAGCTGTCAACACAATATGCAACATTAAAAACTTAAACGACAGCATTTTAACCGAATTTGATGTATTGTAACATTGTGAAGCATTTTTGTCGCCTGTTTAAAACTATAAGCGATTGATGAAACAACACTCTGAGTTTGTAGTATTTGAAGTGATTTATTAAAAGCTATTTTCATCTGAAATAGAGAGACAAACGACACATTTACGACCATCAATAGTAAATGTGAAGAACCAAATCCGTTTCGTTATTGGAACACGGTTTCCCCACATTTATGAAATCAGCAATGCAATTACAGTTGAAATTCATTCATACTATTTACATGTATATACTTAATAATATGAAGGAAGGAACTGACATTACCAAGGTTAAAAAGTAGTGTTCCAAATTTAGGTAAATCATGTAGTGATAAGCATGCTGTATATTAACCTGGTGCCTCACAAACAACGCCTGCTGTGTAACTTTGAATACATATTGCGGCAAGTACTTCGCAATCGATTAGCTTATCCTTAGTACTGTCACAAGTCAACTTCACTCTCCAGGGCATGCCGTAACCTTGACCATAAAAAGCATTAAATTTTGTTATTCCGCCACTGTAAAGAAACAAAAAAGTAACTATAAACAAAGTTTAAGCTCCAATCATATAGCAAAAACATTAAAGTATAAAATAAGAAATTCTGAGAAAAATCGTTTGTTTAAATAATCAAAACAAGCAGTCTGTTTTTATTCACGTGCATTGTAAGTCTAATGCGAATCGAAATAGTTCCGTCCGTACCAAGTATATGAGTGGGACGTTCCGCTATTAATATACTCTGTGTTGAATTTGCATATACATAATAACCACTGATTTGATTTATATATATGTGTATAAGAAAATGTCCGGATATACATATACAAGCCGGGAGAAACACACACATATATGTCAGTAAAGTGATTTAACGGCAAACCGTACATAAAAGTTCGATACACAGAAAGCAAGGACAAAGGTTGCCTCACGTAAACCGCATTAAATCCAAGTGGAATTGAAGATCAAGGTACATATGATTATGGAAAGGTAGAAGAAAACAAGTCCAATTGTAAATAAATGTTCTTTCAGTTTTTGTATAACTCCTTAGCAAAACAATATTGATAAAGGATTTCAATGAACGGACATTTAATAAGCGTAGATAAACAATGGAGTTCGATGTTTAATGACCTTTAACAAGAAGTCTGCAACTGAATAAGAGAAGTTCTGAGGTGAAATAATCATGAAAACTTCAAAGCCGGAAATCGTTGGCATTTTCCGTAAATTCCTGATAGAAATATTTTCATTTCATTTCATTTCACCTCGTCGAGATGAGTTTCGATTGTGTTTTTGACAATGCCATTTATGTTTGAGAAATATGTCAATGACCGAACGGGAGTTGTTTATATGTTTTCGATACAATGTAAATATATTTTCGTAATATCTGAAATCAAATAAGTAAAAATTGCAAATATCGATTTTGTAAACGTACTTGAAACCAAGTTGCTTGCACACAACCCTCGCTTCGTTTGTTCCCCAACCGTTTTGGCAAATGGAAAGCCAATTGTTTCCTCTGAATATTTCTACCCTTCCTTCGAACGCATCTTTTCCATTCATCAGTCTGATATCATCTAAAAACATAAAAGAGCATATACTAATTCAAAGTACAAAAACATTGAACGTAGTTTAAGAAAAACAGCATGTGAGTTATTGCTTTGTCTAACGATCTAATACAGATTCTTCCTTCTTTACTTCATACAAGTTAAAAATGAAACGTGCATATTTTGAGATGTTATCATTAAAAAAAATGCCTTTTTATACTTGTTACCGAAAAGTTTAAATCAATGTACATAGAACATATAAAGGCCACATATAAACAACGTACAACACAAGCATGCATATATGACACTTCATTACTATGTGTGATTATTTTACGCCACAAAGCGTAGGAGGCACGGTAGTCTAGTGTTAGGACGCCGAGCTCGTGACCGAAGGGTTGCGAGTTCGAGTCAAGGCACGGCACTGTGTTGTATCTTTGAGCAAGATACTTAACTCCGTTTGTTCCAGTCTACTCAGCTGTAAATGAGTACGTGGTTGGGCAGTGCTAGAAATGTAGAATGCTAGCTGTGAGCGCCGAAATGGCAGCACCGGCTGTATGCTCCCCATGGAGTTGAGAAAGACATTGGCTGGTTGCAAAGGCCCTATAACCACGGATAATAATTGGTGAACCCCTTTGAGACGGTATATAAGAACCTCGAATTATAATTATTATTTGACTCTTTCTGTGCATTATCAGTCCAGGATGGCTGTAACCTTGTATCTGGAGTTAATTTTGGCTCGATGTAAACGACATACTTGTAAAGGAGTAAATTATCTGTCATATAGCAAATATTAATTTTAAGATTGAAAAGAACGTTCAAAGGCAACGTTCGTTTATGCTGTATTTTACATGTTTTGGAGCATATGATATAGGAATTTCTCTTTACTCCTAGTACGTACCACTGAGAGATCTTAAATGGAGGACAGTAACAATTACTTTCTTTGTATTCCTGCTTCGACATACCAAAAATAAACAAATACAAATAGTTGCTTCCTTCGTCGTGTTTCTGGCGATTACAAACAGCTTGGTAACTAAGCTTTTGTTAATACATTAACTTTCACCTACGAACTTTTCTAATCCACTCTGTTAACCCGTTAGGAAATATAGGGAAATCTACACTGGGATACAGTTATATTGCTGATATTTAATATGCTGTATTAACACATGGCGTTTGATAATAGTTAGAATAACATACCTGTGAAACAGCTAGTATTAAGAGAAGGCATGCTTTCATTAGGTTTGCATTTAATGAATATTTTATCATTTCTTACCTTTAGTTGGTAAAACAGGGGAGGGCGGGCGATCACACCATAAATTGATCTCCGAGTCATCGCGCCCTGCACAGTTTTTATATCTAGGTACATCAAATTGACAAGCACCAAGTCTTCTTTCCTGGCCATTACATATTAAATTGTCAACCAAAAATTTCTTGTCTCTTCGGTTGTACACCCTCCTACTGGTATAATTTCCAGTTCTGTAGTAATGAAAACAATTGGCTAATATTACACAATGGCATGTTTTCAGCTTAACTATTTCTTGTGAATGTTAATACAAATAAAAAGAATGGATAATGCTTTTCATAGTTTTCCTTGCTATATAGGACGATATGTGTACACAGTTATTTCAGAGTACGTGTATAGATAAACATGAATGTGCAAACAATAAAGTGGTGTCTTTTAAGTAGACATTAAACAGAAAATCAGGACAGAAAATATCTTTAAAGCTAAAATATATTCTAATACATGTCTCATAGAAAAGATACAGCTATTATTTTGCTTTTAATAAATGTGGAATAAGCAATCAAAAGAAATAGTGATAAATCTTACGCGAAACCCAGCTGTCGACAGGCAACAATGACGTTCTCTTTATGTTGCTTCCACCCATTGTCACAAACAGTGCCCCACCTGCCATTTTCATAGACCTCCAGGCGCCCCTTATACTCGATGATTCCATCCATTAGACGAATACTTCCATCTTAAATCGTTGAGGATTGAAGGAAGTATATTTGTAGATTTTGTTTTAGAACAAAACGTTAACGCACATATTAAAACAAAACAGGTATGCCAAGTGTCTCTTTTTTACAAAAAAAAAGGTTGGCATGCGATTGAATTAAAAGACAAAGGCGACACAACTAGCCTACTTCATACCTTGACTCATCTTATGCAAATGAATATCAGGATTCGATACGTAACTGATACAAAAAGAATCATTTTAATTTAAAAAAATGTTATACAACGATTAGTGGACATGTACATGTGAACAACCTAATGTTTTAGAAATGCTACCAGAAGGAGGCCAAATAAGTGTCATATCTACGGCTCATGGTGAATGTGACTCTAAATGCTGTTAACGATTGTAGAATTTTACTATGTCGCATAACCACGCGAAGATGGACTCCACGAAATTAAACCAAAACTGACTGCGAATGCAACAGGAAATACAATAGAAAGTCTATAACACTTCAGTTTTAACTAGAATGTATTCGGAAACAACGGGAAAATATTTATGATATGCTTTAGTAATATATGTAAATTTAAACCAAAATGTGAAAGCACCACAGCAAGGTTCTTTGAGAATTGTTAAAACTTGTGAAGCTATGTCGGTTGCCAGTTGTATTGTTGCAGTGGATTTCACGCAGCTCATCAACATGCCAAGTCTCGAAATAAAGCGATATAATGTTTCAGATCGTCAGCCGCCTTGCAATATACAACGCACCGAGAGCGTGTGTTCTAGGTATATATTTATATACAGATAGTGACAAACTCCATTTAGTGTTTGACCCGGAGTTAGACTCAGCTCAAGTGTATATATCCGACGACCCCGACCAGTGTACTTGTGATAGCTTATGATATGTTACTCATATGACAATGACGTGTTCATATGTAGTCGGGTTGGATAATCGACGAATAGAAACAAATGGTTATCCCTTTTCAATATATCAGTAGTTAATATAGTATCATTCAATGTCTTTAATCTAAAAACGTTAATGTTATTGCATATTGTTCAATCATAATTTAAACATTTACTCTATATTTTGAAACGATGATTATGTCTTGCAATGTTGATATTGCTACATTATCAAATGCGTTATAAAGATACACATATGACCTTTGGCAGACATTTTGTTGTGCAGTGAGGAATTCATCGATACAATATCCAATTAGGCCAAGCAGAATATGAAAGGTCATTAGTCAATCTCAAAGAGGCACGAAGAAAATTTTATATGAAAAAAGGACAGATAGGATTAAACTGTTGGAAAATTAAATATTATTAATGTTCAGTTTGTAACGAGAACCGCACTTGAATGTTGATTCCCTATTACACTAGACAGAATTAAAGACATAAGCCATTATATACACACAAACAAAATGTTTCTTTCTCTAATATTCAATTATGACCCTATGATATATGTAAAAATGATGGATGTTTACAAAATACACAATATTATACTGTTCATGTAGCTTATATGTACTCTTCCATCTTCTTCCACTGAATCGTTGATGATACTGTCAATCCGTAGCCACAGTCCACCTCTCACCAAACATTTCCATTTAATCACACAGATAACATATGTGGAGTAACCAAGGTCCAAAATGGTACAAGTACGTATGATGTTGGCAGACAGCTGTATCTGGACAGTCACTGTTTGACCCTCTGGTAATAGATGTTCTTCATAGACTTACACAGGACCAGCAGTTTATTGTCCTCATCAAACTAGAGTGACGACAGACCATAAAAAGCTACAATATACGTAGGACCTTATCAATTATCTATTATGCACATTAAGATGATAAAAGACAGTTAAAGTTAACTTTTTTTTATGAAATCTATGTACCACACATATACTAATGATAAATATTATATCTGAAAAGCAATAACTGTCAAATTTACCATAATCAAACTGAACACAACTACAGCTGTGGGATCGCACAACGTTACACGATGTGCGGTGTGCGCACGATGTGTGCACGGTGTGTGAACGATGTGTGCACGACGTGCGAACGCTACAAATTTGGGCGATCATATCTTGCGCACATTTGTGTGCACGATGGAGGAACGTTTCGCGATAATAATCGTGGTTGGTATAAACTGAGGAATGCCTTACCAATATATACAGTTTCGTGTTTAAACATATAAACCTTGATTTTTACGTATGTTTCTATATTCTACCTACACCTATAAACTTATCTTTATATCTATACTTTCTTAAATTTAGAAATTGTGTTTACGGTATTTTTTAAACGACCTTAACCGACACCTGTGAAATCACAACACAGTCCCGTATACAGTTAAACATAGCAACTAGCCGTCTGGACATTTACCTGGACGGTAGTTTTCCCCCACCCGGGGCGCTTACGTATTTCGTCGGGTAGGGCCAGGGTTGTGAAAACACAGGCGAAGGTGAGCTATAGGCAAACCGAATGCAAATAACAAATACTAAACCTCCAGCTGTGTTTTCATTACGGTCATACGGTATCGCATATCAGCTCTATGTGTCAGGTACAGGCCAGGTCAAACCCCGGTAACTTATCTAATTGTTATTTACATATTCTGTTACCTTGGCGCGAAACCCATTCTTGACAGTCTAACGGTCACTGTAATAGTGTGTTACACGCATTGTTAAACTGTACATAATCTTCATTACTGTGATGAGAAATTACAATGATGAATACAGTTTTCATTATTGCATACGAACTTTCCGTATTTTTTTCATTCCGTAATATTGATCTACAAATTGTACCCAATCGCACAGTTGTGCGGAGAGAAGCGCACAACGGGGCGAGCGATTGTTAAATCCCACAGTTGTGCGCACCATGTGTGGACGATATGCGGACGGTGTGTGAACGATGTATGCACGGTGTGCGCACGCTATTTTTGGTGCGTTGTGCGGTCACACAACTGTAACAGTGCCTTTTTTCCAGTCTTCTCAGCTGAGTAGGTGATTGGGTGGTGCTGGTATTGTAGAATGCTAGTTGTGAGTGCCGAAATGGCTGTATGCTCCCCAGGGAGTTGAAAAAGATATTGGCTGGTTGCAAAGGCCCTATAACCACGGATACTAATTTGTGAACCGCTTTGAGACAACCGACGAACTAGGTTGTGATAAATCGGTATATAATAACCTCGAATTATTATAATTAATATTATTTGTTTACGCTTCACATCAGCTGTTTGCGCATTCAAGTAGACGAGTACTTGTTGACCTGTATTGTTTGCTGCTTACAAAACTAACAAGTGATATGTGCATGCCCAACTAATATTTGTACCTGCATGAGTCTATCTCCATAGCAACAGTGCAGCATTTTAGTGTTTTTAGTAAATATGAGCAAATGGTCAGTATTGCATGTGACACAGTTGTTGTTTGTAAAAATAGTTTTTGAGTAAATGGTTCTGCCAAAATAGTATTAATCACGCATACCTATATTTATAATGTCATGATATCTATCGGGCTTTCAATGTTATTTTTTTTTTTACTTGTTAATTACAATTCGTTCCTGTTTCGTGTTTGCATTAACTGCCAATCAATACTGATTGATAACGTCTTCAGTCTTGTTATGGTAATCACGTATTCTACCGTCGCTCCATCACCATCTGAACAAAACTGGAATATCGAAATATCTATATGAGTATATTTCGAAATGCAATCAGTGCGTTCCGTCACTTTTATTGATGGCTTCATAAGTGTCAGTCTATAGTTTATGTTTAAAAAGTTTGAGTCAGCAGATATTTATTTCAAGTGTTACAGTGGTCAAACAATCNGTGCCTTTTTTCCAGTCTTCTCAGCTGAGTAGGTGATTGGGTGGTGCTGGTATTGTAGAATGCTAGTTGTGAGTGCCGAAATGGCTGTATGCTCCCCAGGGAGTTGAAAAAGATATTGGCTGGTTGCAAAGGCCCTATAACCACGGATACTAATTTGTGAACCGCTTTGAGACAACCGACGAACTAGGTTGTGATAAATCGGTATATAATAACCTCGAATTATTATAATTAATATTATTTGTTTACGCTTCACATCAGCTGTTTGCGCATTCAAGTAGACGAGTACTTGTTGACCTGTATTGTTTGCTGCTTACAAAACTAACAAGTGATATGTGCATGCCCAACTAACATTTGTACCTGCATGAGTCTATCTCCATAGCAACAGTGCAGCATTTTAGTGTTTTTAGTAAATATGAGCAAATGGTCAGTATTGCATGTGACACAGTTGTTGTTTGTAAAAATAGTTTTTGAGTAAATGGTTCTGCCAAAATAGTATTAATCACGCATACCTATATTTATAATGTCATGATATCTATCGGGCTTTCAATGTTTTTTTTTTTTTTACTTGTTAATTACAATTCGTTCCTGTTTCGTGTTTGCATTAACTGCCAATCAATACTGATTGATAACGTCTTCAGTCTTGTTATGGTAATCACGTATTCTACCGTCGCTCCATCACCATCTGAACAAAACTGGAATATCGAAATATCTATATGAGTATATTTCGAAATGCAATCAGTGCGTTCCGTCACTTTTATTGATGGCTTCATAAGTGTCAGTCTATAGTTTATGTTTAAAAAGTTTGAGTCAGCAGATATTTATTTCAAGTGTTACAGTGGTCAAACAATCCGCAGCATTAGCATTTCGTAATCCTGTCATTGACAGATCGTTTCCATTCTAGTTTTTGTAGGATTGTTGTAGAGCATCATAAATCAGGTGAGTAAATACAATGTATGTTCTTAATGATGAATCACTGTCATTTGACATTAGACCTTTCCTCGATTCATTATCCAGCATTAGAAAACTACTTTTGTTTTCGCTCGTCGATAATGATTTGTGATTTACATTGCTTTTAAACAATTTGTTTAAAGTGACATATGTGCTGATTAACATGCATTGGTTCCTTAGATTAAATGATAAAAAAATCACAGCATACTACAGGTCTGTATATATTGTTTATAACTGTATATCATTCCAGGTGTAATACAGTATACAAATTAGCTAGTATACCTGTAACTGATTAAAGTATGCAGCAGAAGCTATGAATACACCACCACAAAACAAAAGCAATACATGTACCGACCCTCAATGACCTGAAGAGGTGAAACTAGGTGCTCCGTCATGCCAATGAAGGATAGATTTATCTTAAAAGGCGTTAAACCACGTGGAAGATCTATCTTACAATATCGGTTATGTGGGAAATGTTGTTTATTGACGTTGGACAGTCCCAATCTTTCAACCGTCTGTAATATTAGCCTTTAATGTTTCGCTTTGATATGTTCATTAAAATATACTTGAAAACATCGTTTTCATTGCTTAAATAACTGCAACGCTGCTGGTAAAATATTATCAACACTGCCTTGTGTCATAGATCACAACATCTTTTAAGAAAGTACAAAGCAAGTTTTCAATTTAAATTATATTTTCTGTTTATATTTAATTTATTCTCGACAAAATGGGTAGCATTGAGCATACGTAGATGTTTTAAGTTCTATTTCTTTCTCACCTCTAACTACACAATTAATCATTACATTCGTATGATACTATAACATGCCGATAGTGACCTTTGAATTTGGATTATTGACCAGAAATGTGATATCTAAATTATCATACACATAGATATGTCAAAGGAAAATCCGTAATAGTTGAAACTGTTAAGGAAAACGAAGAACCATTTTATATACATTTTAGCAAAACTATGATTACCTCAACAGTTAAGATAATAAGTAAACATAGTGGTCATACCTGTTTGGGCTACAAGGTTTCCAAGCTGTACGAGGAAAGCGCAGTACATATGATACATCTTCAGTGATCAGCAGTTAGTGAATAAGCCAGTCAATGTTTTAACGGAAAATAGCCAGTAAGAAGCGGAAGTACTTACACCTATACCGCACTCATCTGACACAGGATAGAGACTGATATTATAGTAAAATAGACAGAAATACACCACAACTTCAACACATGTACTATATGAACACTGATATAAAACTAAGTATATACCTATATAAGCAATAAATGACTACATGTAATTATATTTTAACACAGCCAAACAATAGAGTATGGTATTTGGATTAAACACATCGCCGTGATTTTTAAAAACACGTATTCGATGTAGGATTCTCTTGTTGGTCACGATATGATCATAGACGATATCGGTGTATCTGTTATTGTGTTTTGGAACAGATGTATATTGATAATACTAACATAACGTAAGATTTGACACAGGTATATCCCCTCCTCTGAGCGATGCTTACAGCTAAGCATGTGGTGTAAGAAATACTGGAGTTGTTTTATTGCTTTCGACTCTACATATTCATAATGGTCGCTTAACAACAGTGATATGATTTGGAGAGAAGATCAAAATACACATCTTCTTCTTTACTGTACGGGGGATCCATCAAAGTTGACGTTTATGCCCTCGGGGGTTCTATTGCAGAGGCATGAAAAAAGGGGTTATTCACAGTGATTTTTTGTTTTGATTTTTTTGTGCAAGGTATAGATAAAAGATAATAGCTTACGTATGTTGTAAGCGTATGATGAGGGCTTCAAGGGTTGCATAGGGTAAGTGTGCCTTGAAGTCCTCTAGTGTTGTGCATTGCACTGCTGCTATGGGAAGGAGATTCCATTGTGTTGTGTGTTGGAAGAATGAATATTTGTAGGTGTCCTTTGTAGCAGATATGTGTTCGTATGCGTGAGGGTCTGCATGTCGGGTTCGAGGGTCTACGGGTGTGAGTATGTGAGTTGGGTTTATGGCTACTGTTTGGTGTACAATTTTGTGAATAAGGTTAATTCTTTTGTGACAGCGCCGTGTTTGAAGTGTTGGCCATTGTAGTTTGTGGATCATATCTGTTACGGAGCTAGTGTTGTGGTATTTATTGTGTACGTAGCGTGCTGCTCTTCGTTGTGTTTTTTCTATTTGTTTAATTTGGTTTGTGTTGTGTGGATACCAAATGGAAGAGCAGTATTCAAGTTTTGGCCAGATTAGTGCTTTGTATGCGTGTTATTTTATATGTGATGAGTTTATTTTTAAGGAAACCTAGGGACCTATTGGCATTGGCTGTGATGTTGTTAATATGTTTGTCCCGTCGTAGGTTATTTTGTAAATTAAGCCTAAGTATTTCCTGGATTCTACTTGGTGTAATGTGTGGTTGTGGAGTTTGTAGTCATGGTGTATTTTGTTGTGTTTCTGTGAAATGTTGAGTATGTTTACATTAACAAAATAAGTACACATATGTCAAATTTACGGTAATGCCAACTCTGTCTTCACTTTTGATAATGAAATACTGTACAGTATCACCTATTTTTCTGCTATTTGCAAAGACGCGATATTATGGTGATACAGACACGCTGCATAAAGTTATGACGCGTTCCTATTGTGATATAATGACGCTACATAAATTGTTGACGTGATCCGATTGTGAAGCAATGTTTTGAAAAATCAAAAGTGAATTAACATTTCTAGACGCGGAATATTAAAGGGGCTGGTCGGGGAAAAAATGGTAGTGATCTTCTCCAACACAGACGGCACTAGTAACACTGTCCACTATTCAAAACACTCTGCTTTTTTAATGTTCATCACTTCCCGTGCCTCTGTTGCCTTCTCCTTGTAAATTCGATTCCTTCTGGTATTTTCGTTTCACTAGTGCCGTTTGTATTTTGAAGACGAGAAACACGACTCTTCAACATTTAAGATAAAAATGATTTTCGACTAATAAATCAACAAACATAGATAATATTAATACCAAGTTCGTACAATTTCTGTAAAAAGAAAGTGGAGGGGGAGGGTGTGTGTTTGGGTGTCTGTGTGTGTGTCTGTGTGTGTGTGTGGGGGGGGGGGGGGGGGGGTATATTTATCAAAATCTATGTGAATCTAGAATGTATTGCCGAGTATGTTGAAATATTATTTCATTTTCCTGTTGGCTTAATTCCAAAATACCAAAAAGTATCAGCTGCAGGTCCAGAGGAATGAAATAGTTTAGTTCACGATATAATTTTATTCTTTGTTTTACATAATTGTTACAAGCGAAAAAGAAATGATTCGTATCTTCAACAAGGTGACCACATTGACATTGTCAGAAATTTATTAGATTTGCATGGAATAGATAATTATTTAAGGTACTAGCTGTTTCTTAATCTGGTATGTAAAATGTTAAGTTTTCTATCACCAATCAGATAATATTTTTGAACATATACATTTTGAAGATTTATTAGAGAATTCTTAAACGCTGTATGTGAAACTATGTGTCTTATGTCTAGGTCTAATTGGTTCCAAAGTCGGTTTGTAGAAAGGAAAAAGGATGAGTTTGAAAGTTGAAGTCGGAAATTAGGAAGAGAATAATTATCGGCATTACGGAGGTTGTATTGTGAATTTTCTGAGACGACAGGAGACAGTAGAGAAGTAAGATAGGTTGGCGTGAAATTATTGTGAATTTTGTAGAATAGTTGAAGTTTTCTCCTAGATCTTCTCTGGGATAAGGGTTCGAATCCACTTTCAGAGTATAAAGATGTTCTGCTAGAATAAGAGGGTACACCCGTGATTATCCGTGCAGACTCAAGTTGAAGTTTTATGGCATGATAACTGGCTACACTACGTCAGTAAGATTCATCATGTATACATTACGTATTCTAATTCTGTAATTTCGGCTAGAATACGAATTGATCCCATCTTTTAACTTTTTTTGTCTGAAATGAAAACAGTTTAAAGCTGTCAGTGGTGACCTCCATATAACCGTTATACAAAAATGCTCTTCAAAATGGGCATCCCGCCTTTTCCCGCTTTTTTATCCTACAAAGACATGTGTTTTTTTTGTTAACTTTGGTTGATAGGCTATTTTGCATTTTTGTATTCAGTTCTGCTGTGTGCCAAACCGCTCCATGTTGACAATCACTGCCGTTGTAACATTAAGACTTTTCCATTTATTTTACATAAACTAGGGAAGACAACTCGCATTACCTTACCATGTTGTATTGACTGAGAAACATCGAGACTGTACTTGGAAATTACTGTTTGTGAAACTTTTATTTTCTGGACATAGACGTCGCCATGTTTTTCCTCTAAAGTGATATTGACCCTCTTTAGAAGTTGGTGGGTCATCACGTGACATCTATTAACCAATGCATTATTTTTGAAAATTATTTACTGAAGTACAATAACTATTCTATAGAACTACCTCTATACAATAGACATGCTATCTAACATCCGAAATTTATCCCAACAACCTTGTGTTGATTCCAATGTATCCTAGACATTCCCGTAGCAACCAAATAACTTGATTATATTCACCCAACTGCCAAAAAAACTCCCCAACGACCAAATACATGTATCTATATTATATTCACCCAACAATCAAATTATCTATATTAAAGGGGCTGGTCGGGGGGAAAAATACAAAATAAATGGGTCTAAATACCACGGCAATATGATGGTCGAGTTCTGCTTGCAATGTCCAGTTTTGACCACTGAAATCTCGGGGAAGCCCCGCGTAAATTTAGCGCAGATCTATTTCTATATGTCACGTGGTTGTTTCGGAAGTGAGGCAGTGAAGATAACAACAATAGCACGCCGTCATGTGCCATGTCGGACTCAACTAGCGGACAAGACAGCAATACTATACGTAAATAATTGTTTTCAAAGGTCATGTATGATGCAAGTGTAGTATTCCTACCTATATGTTGTTGTTATTTGTAGCGGTATTGATACCTCGTGCCTGTCATGACTTTTGCATGCATCTTTTTCTTTCGCCGCGATGTTTACATTTGGCCTTGTTGATGACGCGCGTGCGGTAAAATTACATCACTGTTCTGGGTCAATTGAGAGTTTTAAACTGTCAGGTGACGATTTATCATTTCTTTAATATAATTATAATTTTTACTCTTAGGGAGTGAATTTCAGCAAAATTTGTATCGGTATAATTCATAAGTTTTAGAAATCTAGTTTTTGCTGAAAGAATGGTAAATTAGATAAAGAAACAAATCTTAATCTGGATCACTTATAGTTGCTTGTTGCTTTCTCTGCGTAAGTGTAAACTTGATCCATTGCAGCAATTGATTACACGGATATGCATATACTATACTGTTTAGCTGTGTACCTTCGCAGCACCGTAAAACATGTTCCTGTGAATACCGTGAGATGTCCATATTTGTGTATTAATTAACGTCACACAAATTGCATCTATAAGTTATATCTAGGTTTGAATGACCATGTGACCCATAGGCATCTAGTCATATTGTAGCGTATGAAGAGTCCTTACTTTTTAGGGGGATCCCATTGGCCATTTAAAATTCTAGTTTAAAGTAAATGTTACAGATACGTGATGGATATGATCCGAAGTGAAGTTTTGCACCGCTATATTTAACAGGATATGCAACCTTGTGAATATCGAGCCTGGTAGCGGCAAGATAAGATATCCACTCGATGCACAGGCCCTGCTTAATATATCGATGCATACCGACCATGAGGTTCATTTTCGTACTTTTATCAGCGTCCAATACAAGTTATCAGTATTTTGACCTAGTGTTTTCGTCTGTAGCCAGCGATACTTTCATGATTGTACAAATATAAACATTTTTACAGTACCAGCATATATTCCCATATTTTGTATCTGTAATCAATACGAAAACAAATATGTAAACTGCTAAGTGTAATTTCTTCTTATCTGAGACCAACAAGATAACACTATATACCGTATAATGACATATAAGTTCATACGTGGCCAGCGTTAATTGAAGAACATTGACAATTTATTGTATATTTTCGGTATAATTTCTAACTTTCCCTTTTGCCAAATTAACGCTAGATGCATATCGTAAAAAATAAACCTGCCTACCTCTGGTTGGACAGAGGACTAAATTTGCAGATGTAATATTATACTTTAGCAACCGTTTAAGTAATGTTTTGTTTTCATCGTTGTTAGATATTGTTGAATAATACTATCGCTATTTTTATAAGATGACTTATAATCCGACTTAAATAAGTTTTAGTTTTTATTTGATGTGTACTTAATTATCATCTTGTTCTTGGTAAAACAGCGGAAATTATATATGATTTGATTTAAAACGGATTTTTATCCCGAAACATGCATACTTTCTTGACATATTCCTATTATTTTCGCTGCTTTACTGTATACCTCTCACCTAACTGAAATAAGTTAAACATTTATAGTAGCATGCAGTTTTGTATATTTCCTTGCAGGTGCGTTGCTTATAATTTATGAAGTGTACTATTTTATATAAAAAGCCTATATCATTAAGTGAAACGAATAAGATTAACTTTATTGCAGTACAATATTAAATTGTGCCTTGTTTTTATTTGAAACTGTAGTTGTTGACGTATTCTAGGCTTTTTACGCTGTGCATATACCCATTATAACTATTATAGTAGTTTTTTCAGACATGCTTCAAAGATATATCCCCTCCCCCTGAAAGAAGACTACAATGCCTAATTTCAAATCAAGACCACGAGAGTTTTAGCTCACTCAGTCTATGTCTAGTTAAACGCTTTTTGTGTTATTAATTGCGCGAACGTTCTTATGTTTGAACTTGGATTGCATTTCAGAAAATTTAAACCGAGAAAAGTAACCAATGATATTCAGCAGATGTTTTTATCTTTTCGTGTCTTTTTATAACTGATAACTCAGTCCCTTTCCTTCAAGAATGAGCCAATAGGAACGACATTGTTTCCGTTTCAGATAAGAGTTTTTACAATGAAACACGTCTGAACAAAAAAAGGACTACTTATTATTTATATATAATCGTTTGTTTCAATAACTCATTTGTTTGCATATATATTATTTTACAAAATATTCTCGATAAACACGTGCTTTATACCGGACTTAATTGTTAAGTTATATTCGGGTAAGTTGCGATGCATATTTGTACTCCAGAAAGAACTATATACAACGTCAACAAAGGATTATAGTGACAGAATTTATTTCAGAATACAAGTTTTCAGCCAATGACGACACCACTTCCTTCTACGTTACTGAAACAAAAAGGAAAATTCTAACAGAGAAAACCAATTTACCAATGAATGAGGGTAGGGGAAGATAAAGTATTCAGGACGAATATCTAGGATTTTAAGATATAATAGAGGTTTAATCTAGTTTAAAGACAAATCCAGAACATATATCAGCAAACTAAAATATGTTGTGAGTTCAGAGATATTATTGCTTCATTATGATGTTATTTTTCGTTATATCTGTTCAATGCATCTGTTGTTATATGTGATAAATTAAGACAAACAGCATACGACTAAAGTAGGGTAGACTTATTTGATAAAGATGAATGTGTTGTTTTAGTCGAAATTTCAACAGCAACAGTATGTTCAACGAACAAACTTCCTGATATAAATGCCAAAACAAATATTGACGTAACCGAATCCTCGGTTTTCACTATCACCAATGAAAACATAAAAAAAATGGCGAAAACTGATTTACGCAACAAGGAATAATTGCAAAAATTGATTCTTCATTACATATGAGTTTCTTACTTAAAATACCAATCAAATGGCACCTATCTTCTGTATTATAGTATATGACCTTACGTTGCTTGACAGATGTAGTAGAGATGTAGTTCACAGTCATCATCTGCCATTTTGAAGCCACCATTTCCATAGAGATTCATACAGTTTCCTCCCTGAGCATTGTTTGGCTCGCCGTCAGCCCAGTTGATGTATGATAGTTTCTCTCCAGATATAGCCCACTTCCAAACGTTTTCTACTTCTAGGTCCGTTCCATCGATCCAATATAGAACATTCCAAGCATCTAAAGTCGAGAGATCAAACGTCTGTTACTTTGTTAACATAGCTGGACAACCTAATATTCATCTCAATATGATATAATAATGATGAACGATATGTCACAATTCTATGTTCTAATCGTACCTTAGTTTAAAACAAGACTACGTAATGTAATCTCAATCACCTGTAAAATTATGATAAAATTAATACTCCATGTATATCATTAATGAGTATGTGAGATGCTCCCTTTTATCTAATATTTTTCTCATATTTTAATTTGAACCGGCATTGTGTCACACGATGCTACGGTGTATTTGGTATCCAATCTAATTGGTTTACCCATTACCATTTTTCCTGCCAGAGGATGTTCATGCTGTGTCTGTGCCAACCATTATAGCGAATGAAAGAGAAATTCATCTTTCATGATGTTTAAGAACACGTGACCATCACCACTTCTAAAATAAGATAAGCTGAATTGATACCCCTATCACCCTGCCATTCAAAAGGAAACCTCTATCATTGTAAAATCGGTGTAGGTAATACCTGGAACCGTTGTAATGGGATATCTATTGTAAAGTAGCATAAAAGATACTTTTGCATAATGTGAGAAATAAAATAAAACAAAATCAACTAATATTTATTTCTCCAAACACTCACATTAAATTCACCCGGCTTATCTATTTAAGATTTTCTACCGGCTTCTAGGGTATGATTTCTATGTCATCCCCTAGGATATGACATATAGCACGTAACAAAATTGACGTCACGGGAACAACTCGATATATTAAAAATATAAAGAAACAACGCAGGATAAACATTTGAGGTAATTTAATGCTATGTATTAGAATGTTTTATACAATATTTTTATATAGGTGTAATAAAACCATCTTACATCAACAAATTACCCCCCCCCCCCCCCCCCCCCCAAATATCGTATAGTGAAGTCGATTGATCCGTCAGTACATGTATCTCGTATTCCAACCCCCGTGGAGTTCGTCAATGCATTTATCCCTCGCATGTGAATACTGTTCCACTCTTCGAACAAGGCAGTCCTTAGTTTGTCGAGAGTAGCGGGGACATTTTGAGCCCCCCGATACGACGTTGACCGTCCGGAGATTTACCCGGGACCGGGACTCAACTGTGAAAAAGACTCGTCCCCATTGCGTCATTGGAAATCGTCTGGGTACATGGGCAGCCAACCAAGCCATACGACGCGACGCATATACGCTACGTGCATGAGTGAGAGGCAGACAGACGAGCTCGCAGATCAACCTCGCGCAATCGGTTCCTTACAGTTTTGGGTTGGATGTGGCGATTTTGATTGTCTTCCGTATTGATAGCGATTTTAGTGGAAGTAACACGACGACTACGCAAGTGGGCAAGACGATTAACCCTGCCCTGACGTCATGTCGTTACGAGCGGACATCCCGATCGATGTCGGTCGGCAACCCTTTCGGTGTCTGAAGGACGACGGACAACATATAGTGGAAACATTGACACCGAACTGTAGATATTGTAAATTTGTTGCTAGGTCTTACCTGTTGTTGCTTTCGACCTTGCAATAGCATTGCAGAAGCCTTACTTCTCTGAACTTCCGTCAGCCGAACCATGATTGCAAAAGATCAAATTGACAGTTTATAGTGGCAAGCGATGTGTATTCCCCAAGAGTATCAAGTAGTATGACAAGATGTGTTGACGACTTTGTCATGATTACTCTTGGCGTGCCTTTTGTATTTTAACACTTTCAGTAGGTGACACGGTACATTACATGGTTCAGTAACGTTAGACACCAGTTTAAGTACACAGTGAGCAAGATACTCGTCTGAACGTGTGGTTTTTTTCATAATTTTACTCCAATCAGGTTAATGATTGTTGAACATTTTGTTACCCTGCGTTGCTTTATCCTTTAAGTATATATATATATAGTGTATGACGTCACAGTTACATATCAATAGGAGAGGTCATGTGCAAACCAGGATAAAAAAAATCACAAACCCATTGTTTTTAAATATATCATTAGAATTATGGGAAAACATACATCCTCCCATACCTTAGGGGTGTAAAATACAATCTCCAACCCTATGGGTGATTACTTCGTTGTCTGAGCCCTAGGCAGAACCTCTGGTTGACAATGAAATAACTCCTGAGACAAGAGATTTGCTATCATACCAAATTAAACCAATTAATCATTACAGGTCAAAACGGTATATAGACTTCCTTTGGCTAATTGCAGGCTACTTCATACTCAAGCTAGCATCACACCTTGGATATCCTTTAACTCCCTCTATGCTATATACAATGGACTACCATAATCACCACTACCACCTCCACCATCACCACCATAACTGAACAATGATATTGACTGTAGTATACGCACCGGTTCTATGTTTATCGGTCAACTCTGATATCAAGAAGTTTTGTTGTTCAGCTGACGTTATTACTGCCAAATTGGAATGGAGGGCCAAACAGGTCGACTGTAGCGAACATAGATACATTGAAAAACATCAAGGTTATACCTGGCGTGTCACAGTCAAATATGTTGTTTCGATTTGCAATGTGTTTGAAAGAAAATTATTCAGAGAAGCTACAAATTGTAACAGGGCCACCTGCACCTGTTCCTCACTCACATATTATATACCATTCAGCGGTACATTCTTTCACATATATAAAACAGATCACAAATTTGACACAAATAACCAACGACTATCTGTGATGGTTAGAACGATAAAAAACTACAATGTTTACTCTGGGTAATTAACGAATAACGTCCATGAAGTTTAAACGTGTCCAAATAACGCAAATCATAGATTATAACGAATAAGGTAATCATGGATGGCGTTTATATACTACTAACAAACTGTGATTATTTCTGTTTATAGGGTTACACAACTTCACACTGCAACCCTAATCGCTTTCTTTAATTTCGCTAATTTGTTCACAGTGGAAAATAGATAAATATACATATAGTTTAATGATGGATACCAACGGGAAAGTTATATTACTGATACTACCGTTTATCATATAAAACAGAATGCTACTTACATATGCTTCTCCCCATGATGATTTGCCATGTGAAAACAAATAACAAGTATCTTCAAAAGTCACCCATCCTTTTCTACATGTCGCAAGACCTGCAAGTAGAAGAAGTTGACCGAAAAATCGTGTAAATGTAATTCAATCAATTTTGGGTAAGGAATGTATTGAAACAATCTGAATTTATCGATGGAATAGTATACAATTTGCTGTAGATAACATATTTATTAACAGATCATTATAATGTCGATTATATGTCTTTTAGCAGCAAACAGTTTGACAACTTTGAAAGAGTAACTCGTTCATGATCTCTGATAATATCGCTTGTACATGTATATATTTTATGTTAAGGATAGATATGTGGGTTGTTTTAATAATTTTAAATGTACTGACCCCCAGGCACGCATAATGCGAATAATACCAAGAGAAGACAATTCCATGATTCCATTTTGACTTGTGTCATCGGCTTTACCTGGTCGAGGAGATAGTGATTTTATTCTAGATAGTACAGATTAAAGATCAGGCCTACATGTGTATGACACGTATTGTTGTACAAATGTAGGGTATTATATAAGCATGTGGTTGTATACATAGAGTTGTCTCAGATAGTGTACAGAACCAACAATCAGATTCGCTAAATATTGCTGTACCCCCTTTCATACATGTACAGTCTTTAATCATCTAGTAGTATCAAATATGTTCAGTGAAGTGCGCAATAGGTTTTAAAAGATATTTGTGTAAAAAGTTTCTGCAGGATATAATTGTTCTCATTGTATTGATTGGCGGGTATTACAGGGTTACCGTTATTGCCCCTGTGGTATATAGACTTACCCTAGAGTACGTACTAGCGGATACATGACCAGCATTATTTCCTGAAGATTTTGCAAAAATATTGTTTCAAAGACTTACATTTTTCTATATAATTCAGTCGACTACATTGTATATGTATTTATATTGAAACAAAAATTGCATTTTGCCATGTATGCATGCCACGTAATGACCCTAATGACCCGAACAGAAAATGTTTCTGTCATTTTTATCAGCAATCGTTATATAAATCTATAAGTGCTAAAATATTGTTGTTACACTGTAAAGAAGGACTATTAGATCCAGCCACATCAGTTTCTGGGACTGTTAACTTAACTTATATATCAGCCATTGTGAAAATGTATCTCACGAGTGTTTATAGGTAATATATACCGCTAAAAGACTTTATGGCTTCAATTAAAATTTTCATCAACCTGTAAAAAGACCTGACATGTGGTATCATTGTAAAACTATTATTTCAATGTAACCATAGCCTAAATATAAACTCAAAATCGGTAAAATTTGACAAAATAGGAACAAACGAAAGATTTAAATGCAACCTAATGAAAACCTACACGGATTATAAACCAGGCGTTCCGGAAGTTAAACAGTCTCTGACTTCTTTTTTACGACACCAGTCATGTACGTTTAGGTCAAATCCAAGTATTGGAACGTTCTTAAAGAGCACACATCGCTAATGACAACGACACCTAGAGAAATACTAATGAGCACAATAGAACTGTTGACACTTTAACCCTACGAGGAAATAGCATGTTTTACTAATAAAATTATATCGGCAAAATCACTTTAGCTCAACATAGGTATTCATGTCTCCAACTGCAAAACGCATAATAGTATACGCATATGTTATTGTAATTAAAAGGGACTTAACTGGTTACAAAACATACTGCTGTAGGACGCATAGGACCATAAAAACATTTGCTAAAACTATCATTGCTAAAATCACACAATGTTTAATCGGTTAAGTTGAAGGACACACTGATAACCGACAACGAGCTGTTTGAACCTTTAGCCATATTTAGAATATGTGGTGTAACAGATAAGACTACAAACAGGAATGGTGCTTCGTGAAAGTGTTGACATCAGTTGATACATGCACATATATAAGAGAGTGTTCCCGCTAGTCTTTGGTGCTTTAAACTTTATTGACCAGCATTTCGTGTTTAACTTATTTAAAGCGATTGTAAAATATATGGAAACATGTGATTACTGTTTTTGTTACATTTGGTTCATTAGTCCATCCCAATCGGCTGTAAGTTTAACAGTGACTCTAGATACAAGATACAATAAATATACGAGATACAAAAAGTTTTATTTAATGTCGCATATTTAAAAAATAAACATAAACACTGTAGTTCTATTATTGCGACAAACAATGGATATAAATAAGAAAAAACATTTTAGAAATAGCAAGCAGCACATACGTTATAACACACAGGTAGCATTTGAAGTTAAATATATAAACTGGAGGTAAATAATGAATACTAGTATGTTACTCAAGTATTATTAGCTGAGGGTTAAAACACTATGACAGTGTAATAAAATCACATGCAAATATAGCAAAAATTTGACTGGATATACACTAATATAGGGTGATTTGAAAAAGGGACACTGGTGTCAATTTTAACTAAAATAAGTTAGGTAGGAACTAGAATCATTTAATATAAAAGATGCCACTTTAGACTATATACAATTAAAAAACATAAAGCACATAAAAAGCATACAAGTCATACATAATAGTAAAACAGATATAGCAAGTTATAGTAAAAGGGAGAAAACTCCATCATATGTGTTAACATTACCTCCCATTATACTTCTAGATGAAAGTAGGAAAGAAAGATGAAGGGTTTTAAGCAAAATAAATGGTTGAGTTTGCAGTAGAAAGAAGACAAATGTGTGTACTGGCAGAAAGCGTCACGAACAAGCAACTAACCTTGTCCTGCCTTCAGTCTCCGTGCTTGCTTTTTTTTGAGGGGTGAGGGGGATTTAACAAAAAAAACAGGGCAGCTTCAGTGTACATGTAAATTTGTATTGGGCCTAAAATTTAAATTTGAATTTTAAAAGCACACATAGGAAAAGCAGAAAAACTGAACTTAAACAATGACTAGTGGGAACAGATCATACATTTACATTCGTCCCAGGTGCGAAGCAGCCTACAGAACGTGACATGGTTTTCCGCACTTCTAAGGTCGTTTGACAGGTTGTTTCACACTCGGACCTTCTCAAATATAAATGATCTCTTTCCGTAGCCCATTTTTTTGATCCTAGGTGTGCTGGCAGTCTGTTGTTGTCTGAAATTATAATTAGAAGAATTTAGTTTGATAAGGTCAGGTATGAAATCAGGTGCCATTTTTTTTTTACAATTTTGAAAACTTATTTTGCCCTAATTGTTTGCCTGTTTACATGTAAGAAATCGAGTGCGTGCTTTTTCAATGATGTTTTAAAAGTTGATGAATAATCGTTTTCAATCAAACTGATTGCCCATTCCTGTATCTTTTCTATTTTCCTGGTGTTGGTAATATTACAAAAGTTCCAGGCTAGTGGACAATAATTAAACTTTGAAAAAATTTTAAAATAGTGAGTTTGGCCTTCTTAGATAAAGTTGTACCAGTTCTTTTCAACATACACAATTGTTTTAAGGCCATCCTACAAATATTGGAAACATGGATGTCAAAATTAAGGTCACTGTTTATGTTTACACCTAAAAGTTTCACAGTGCCTTCACAAGGTACATTTTAGTTTTCAACAATAAAATATTTAAGATGTTGACTAGATTTTTTCCCAATACTGATGACTTGAAATTATTAAGGAATTTGCTTTCATGCCATTTCTTGGAAACAATCTAATTAAAATTTTACTTTAATCTACTTAAAGATTTTTTACATCAGATGCAACATCACTGATGTTGAATAGTGTGTTGTCATCATCATAATTATAAAGACTGCTGTCTTTTATACATTAACAATCAGCAGTTCTAAGTATCGAACCCTGAGGATCACCTGTCCTCAGCGGCTCCCAGTACTACTGATGGGCCCGAGTCTAGTCGGCTGTAATCTGTTGCTGAGGTAACTGCTTATGAGATCTGTAGAGGGTTTATCAAGCCTATATGCTCGCAGTGTTCCCAGCAACAATCCACGAGGGATGTAATAAAAATCCCTGGACAAGTCCATAAGGATGTAGACTGACACCCAAAGCCCCGCCTGAAAGCCGCAAGATAGGGGTTGACCATAGAGTTACAAAAGGTTCAAGTTGGTTTTGAATGATTCTTTCAAAGACTTTAGAAATAATGGACAAAAATACTAATAGGGCGGTAGCTTTCTTTACATAGAGGGAAATTCTTTTTTAAATACAAGGATAACTTGCACACGTTTTAATGAATTAGGGAATTAAGCAACATTTAAACAACGATTAAAATAGTTAAGTTATGGGTTACTCAGAGCATCACATCCAGCTTTCAACATGTTGGCAGATATACTGACTGACTTCTTCGTGTCAAGTCGTGCAATAGTAGCTTTGGCCTGTTTTGGCTAAATAGGGATCAAAGAAAAAGATTAATTTAAACTCTCATCCCTAGTTTCCTTAATTTTACATACATGTACATGTACTCTATGTTGACTAGACAGGTCAGTATCTCGTCCAAGGTTTGTACCAATATTACAAGCCTGTGGATAATGTTTATTTATATATTACAAATGTTTTCCTGATCAGAGATTATTTCATTGTTTTCTTGTAGTACTGGTTGTTCTATATTTATACATTTATTAAATAAAAATGGTTTCAGATTTGTCTTTGTTAAATGGCACGATTCATAATTCAGTTGTTACCATAAACAGCTTTTACATCCCCTAGATTACCAAAATCATACCTGTAGCTATTACATTGTTCTAGTTTACCGGATGAGCCACTATGAGACATAAGTAGTATTTAAATTCTTCTAGCACTGTTTGACCCGAGAAAGTTGGAAGTTCCCAGAAGCTGATGGCTGAGATGAGTCATCTTTTTTAAGTTAACAAATACTCATGTTAACGTGAGGAAACGCCAGGAATCGGTGTGTTATGTTTGACACAATACATGCATGTTGCAAACCCCTTCAGGTATTTTGACGTTATGAATTATTTTTTGTGTTAATACAACCAAAGGCTGAAGTAATTTTAGACCAAAGACAATAAAGTAATAAGATAATACTTATGGTATAAAGAAAACAAATGGCATCTAACTGATTGCCATAGTTCGCCATAAGCCTTTGAGTGGTTGGAGATACAAACATTGGTACAGTCACCTTATGTGAGTCGTTAGATATAGTTTATATATTGCTTTATCTTAACATAAGTATTGTGAAGCCTTATATACGGTTGACGGACTCACATACACACTTTTGAGTGACGCAGAATGATAGAGATTATGGACAAGTTGTATGGTAAAAATCCTATTCCCATTGGCAAATGTGATATTTCCGAGTTCAATATCCAAGTTAATTCCGCTATAAAGCTCATTATTTTATTGTTTGGTTTCATTAGCACTTCCAAGGTTCTCAATTTTAGGACGTGACATTGTTAATTTTCTAGTATTATTATTGATACTTCGGTATTCCCTTGCTAGCTCTCCATTAGAACAATGTTTCAGGTAATTGACGCTTTACCTCATATCTTATCAGCCAGTTTAAGGATGATCTGGGGTCTACTGGACATTCCATGCGCACGACTATAGAGATGGGTCAACTACATATTTTCCAAATTGCAATAATACTGGTAATTCCTTATACAGGTAAGTTTTTCTATAATTGTGTTTCATGTTTGTCTAAAAGATTATAATATGATTTCAGAAACAGTAATAGTGTGTGGAACGCAACTGTGATAAACAATATTTACATGTACACAAATATAGAAAATAGAAATCAAGAAAATGCAGCTTTTTAATGAACGTGTTGTGCTTTACAAGTGTATACTAAATTGACGGAAAGTTTTTAAATGAATAGTTATTTTTCTTGTAAAGCAACGTATATTCATACTATAAAGTGTGATACGGGAATAGGATACGACGTAGTTGCGAACTTGAAAGTGATACACTGTGACCTTACCAACCGAATGCCATGTGTCAATTCTCACAAAGTTCGCACATCAATCTTAACCAGTATGAAACACCTTGCAATGGGTGTATACGTAAATGTTAAAGGCTTCGAAGAAACATTACACTGGCTTAAAAAACGATGACCAATTATGTATTTATCAATGTCATTAGTTTTATTGCAGACAGCGACTTCAATGCTAGAAAACATTGGGATGTGTTTTGTCGTCATGAATCGTCGAATAATTAATGAAGAGTTGTAAATTAAGCCGACCAAAAACAGCTTAACAAAAATAGACTTTGCAAATACAAATGTTTTTACTTTTTATATTGGGTATACATATACAGATTGTTCTCTAAATAAAAGCTACATATGCAATATAACGAATCCATCATGATTTGTCTGAAATGCATCAATGTTGTAGCAGGCCACAAGCAAATGCATGGCTACACATGTAATCATATTAATGGGACATCTGTATTGGGCGAGGTAACGTATTATGTCAATAACACAAATCAATTTACACAATAAAGCTTGCCGGCAACACAAGTTAGATCACAGATACTTAACGCTGGTTTGAGTGACCTGCGTGATATCCCCTGGACCAGGTTTCGTTTAAAACGCACTTCCGTTTACAGTATACATCATATAATACCTTATGTATTTTGTTATCAACAAACTCCTCCTTTCCTCGATACCCTTTAAACTCTTTCTTCCCTCGATACCCATTAAAAAACCTCCTTCCCTCGATACACTTCA